TACACACACACACACACACACACACACACACACACACACACACACACACACACAAAACAACCCCTCTTTGCTTTGATGTTAAAATTCGACATCAAAACAACCCAAAAAGTTAGACGAATGTTGTGCGAAGGGTAATTTACACAAATTACGCCCAAAACAGCTGTTATTTTGCTCACGAGATATTGATTAAAAAAAAATTTAAACTGAAAGCAAGAAGACGAAATACGAGACGACAACGCGTACAGCCATGTAGTTCCCGCTGTAGCCCTGCCCAATTTTCATGGGCGCATGGTTACAGCAGTCAGCTCTAGACATTGTTTACCTTGGCAATCTCTAATTCAGCAGATATTCAATTTTGGCTAAGATAGAGTTACAAATACATGTAGACAGATTTGGGTTGGAGAATAGATGATTAAATTTTGCTTACTGACAGCAATGTGGAGACGAAGTCTTTTAGAATTTGAGCCTCAAATGAGATTTGCCGTGCTTTTAGAAAACTGAGTGTGAAAGTCTTATTTGATTTTTCGAGCTTGAGGTTGTTTATCTTTAATAAAGATCTGAGCTGAGAAAAAGGTAATTAAAATTTTTTAAATTTATTCTGAGCCTGAGAATGACATTTGGCTGTGCATATTGTGCATGACGATTAAGTTTGATTGTTTATTTTGAGCATGATAATGAAAATTGGCTGTTTATTCTACACCTGAAAATAAAATTTGGCAGTTAATTCTGAGCACGGCAATGAAATTTCGCTCTATATTCTGAAACTGTGAATGAAGTTTGACCGCTTATTTTGATTTAAAAAAGGGGCATAATTTGGCTGTTTGTCCTGAACGACATGACAATTAAGTTTGGCTGTGAGATCAATGACGTCACCAGTAAGAATGGCTCCCAGCTGAAGAAAACTGAGCTCTTTGCTGGAGGCTTTGATGACCCGGACATCTCTGTGTTTGACGTAAGCCAACGTTACCAGGGCCACCCCCAGCACGCCCATCAGAGCCAGGACCAGGCACAGGATGACCAGGGGCTCAGAAAGACTCGGGAACTCCGGCGAAATGGTCTCACAGACGGTGAAGTTACTCTGTGGGTGGGTGGTTTTTTAAATTAATATTTTTGGTTTTTTGGGGGTGGGGGTGGGGAAGTGTCAAAGAGAGAGTTTTTTGTGGCAATGATGACGTGATAGCACAACATTAAGTAGCAGCAAATACAAACAATAAAGTAATCACCCCCATCGCCATTGTCATCACCGCACAAACAGACTCGGGAAATCGTGGGGAGAAGGTCTCAAAAACGGTGAAGTTACTCTGGGGGTCGGTGGTCTTTAATTTTCTTAGGGTTGGGTTTTTTTCGGTTGAGAGAGGGGTGAGGGGTGGTGTCAAAAAGATATGCTTCAGTATTAGTTGTAGTTGTAGTAAGAATTTTTGCGGCAATGAAGATATGGTAGCACAAAATGAAGTAGCAGCAACTACAACAATAAAGCAATCACGTCATCTCCATCGTTATCATCGCTCAACCAGACCCGGGAACTCGGAAAAGATGGTCTTACTTTTAAATCTTTTTTTCTGGGGTGGGGGGTGAGATCAAAGAGAGAGGTCTCAGTTTTAGTAAGACGTTTTATGACAATGAAGTCATGGTAACTCAAAATTAAGTAGCAGCAACTGCAGCAACAATAAAGAAATCACCATCACCACCATCTTTATCACAGTTAATTACGACAAAAACTAAATTTAACACCCCAAAGCACGTTTTATCGTCAAAGGCTATTCTGTTATTTTTTCTTCCTCCTCCTCATCCTTCTCCTCTTCCTTCTCCTACTCCTCTGCATGACCATCATCGTCACTCCAACAGCAGCCATGATTTGGAGCTTATCATTCACATTTTGGCTTGGAAATTTGGACAAAATGATAATAATAAGATACCCAGGTAAAACAGAACAGTACAAAACAAAAGAAGGAAAAAAACACACCCAAACCCAAACACAACCCCGAACGACAAACAAAATGAACAAATAGAAATGCAGATAAATCTAACAGCTGGGAAAGAAAGGAAGACGATGACCGTAATGAACAGAGAAACCCAATCCTGGGGTTGTCCACACTTCACAGCGGGATGTCTTTAAATAATGGAACACCGTTTTTATACATTGAGGTCTGAAAAAAACTTTAATGCGGTCTAGGGACAGCTTTAACAGATAAACACAATTTAAGCCATATCTCTTATTTCTTGCCTATTTTCTTCGCAGTATCACGCCTTTCCCTCTATTTTATCTTCTCCTCTTTTCTTTTCTTTGTCTTTACATCATATACTCTGTCTGTCTGTCTGTCTGTCTGTCTGTCTGTCTGTCTGTCTGTCTGTCTGTCTGTC